GGCTCTGGCAAGGTCGCCCCCGTGGAATTCCGCTTGAAGGTGTCAGAGAGCATCCTACTGAAGAGGCGCATTTTTTGAGGGATGGTATGATCACTTGGGCGCTTCGCTATCCGAGGCAAGCAGAAGAAAAGAGGAATGAACCCACCGAATATTCGTCGTCGTATAAACATCGGGCCTACAAGTTGCATAATGTTCTCCAAGTTTGCTATCCGGGTTCCATTCCGTTGGAGGAGGTTCTTAACGCCCGAATGGCTACTGACCCTGCGGCGTTAACCGGCACAACCGGGACCAACGAAGAGCCAGCTGTTGCGAGAACAGATGGAGAAGGACACTCGCGCTCTGCGGCACCGCAAGATAACAGACTGAGGGCCCCCCTATGCTGGGGGGTAGTCTCATCTGTCGGTCACGGAAGATGTCGACGCAGATGTTAGCCCAGGAGTCACAAATCTGCTCTTGCGCATAACTCTCCCGCCGACGCCAGATCACAAACAGCTCCGCTCTGAGGAGCAAGATCCTCCGGGGCGAACTAGACATGGTAGTCGTGCAAGGTTTGCTACTGATGGGGGCCACCTGTACTTTGGACAACAACAACGAGAGAACGCTTGTGATGAGGCCCACAGGGCTGGCCCAGTGCCCCCCCGCATCGCAGCCCTTCGCGGGCGTGCCTATCACGCGATTCAGGAAAATGCGCGCATACTGCACGACCCAGTTTTCGTGCTGCTAGGGGAGCTAGATGTAGAAGGATTTCACCAAGCGGTCAAATGTTTCAAAGCAGAGTTTGACTCAGATGACCGACCAAATTCCATCCCCTTGGAAGCCTATAGTGCGCATGCTCTTCTAGTGCTGCCGAATGGCGCTACCGGCGCAGCCGAGGAAGCGGAGGCAAACATGTCGACAGGGCCAAAAGTCCACCATGTTGAGAAGCCTCAGAATTTTGAAAACAATTCAGGCACCGAGCGCACTCCGAGGCACAATTTGTCTGTGAATGCGCGGTGTACATGGCCAGACATTGTGGCGAATCTGCCCGATCATCGGGCGGGTGGGTGTATGTAGGCGATCTCATTCGGAATGCGACGAGCGATGGAATCGCTCATGCCACCGCTGCTCTTGCAGCACATGGTCTAACATTGTTGCCATCGGGAGAGGTTGATGTTCCAGGCATAAAGGCCGATGACATTCCGGTTCTTGAAGAGACAAAGCTAATGGAGCACTGGCAGTCTTTTCGGAATCCAGACGCCTCACACGACACAGTCGTTGATGAGGAAATGGGGATACAGTTTTCTCCATTGATAGAGCGGAATGGGCTTGTAGGCCCATGCAAGTGTTCTTTCGTGCATGTCAAGGACGCTCTTGCTTTGCCCACAGCATAGAATGCATGTATGCGCCTTGCGAATTCGGGACTGCGCAGCGCCATGGGCACCTACTGCACGTTGCGAGCCTGGAAACCATCAAGGAGTCCACGTTGGGCTCAGGGACAATCAAGTACCCAAACAAGCTTAGTGGATTGTGCACAGCACCCGATCACAGACTTCCTAGATTGATACCTACGAGGCGCGAGTTCCCTGCGGAGTATGCCGAGCACATCCCTCGATGGCTCAGCCAGCGGAAGGACGGCGATGCTCCGCTCGCGAAGGTCTATCAGGCGGCCGGCGCTGCCCCGGCCGGGGGTGGACCTCCGACTCAGGGAACTTGGCCTCATGCAGTTACCCCATCTCTCTGGGAAACTGATGCGACGCATAACGAGAACTGGCAATATGTTGTTGTCTTCAACGGGTGCGTGGTGACCCGCCTAAGGTATCGCATCTGCCGCGACCGCACTCTTGTGACAACAGGACAAGCACGCTTCAATGACATCTCTCGAATCGTGCAATTGACGTTGGTTGAGCAGAATGCACGTAACACACAGCATATGATCTGGAACATGATATTTTCTCAAGAATTGTCTGCGTATGAAGTTGCTTTCTCGCACGGCACAATTAGAACATGGGTATTTGTCCGACTGAGAAGTGGCCGGCGTAAGGCAGAGTACATTGTCCGAAGAAGACAAGGCTCTCACCACGCGGAGAATGTGGGTTGACGATGGGAGGTGCATTTGCAATCAATACCATGCTGCGAGGGCTGGTTTCGGATATTGTCTACAATGCCTCACCCCCGTCACGTACAAACACAACGTCCGAGTGAATTATTTACAATCACCTGGCAGAGATGCAATGGTTGCTGCATGGACGAGCCTAGGACTGGCTCCACGCCTGGGCGCAACCCCAAGAGGGGAAAGCGGCTCCAAGATCATTACTAACAGGCTGAAAGCGATGAGAAAGAGCTCTGCCGATGCGCTGGACAACTTGAACAAAGCTGACCAACGCCAGCGCAAGTGGGTTAGCAACTCGCAGATACGTCTCCGGGCTGGTTTGGCAGGTAGTTCGTTTGTAAATTCGCAGCCAGGTGCCGTTTTCTTCCTGGAGACCTGACAGCGCCTCGGCACAGCCGCTGGCGCGTCATGAGCTATATTTCCAGTTTCTGGAACCACTCAAACTCCGATTCATTAAGTGGTTGAAGTTCAAGCACGGGGAACATGCCCCAGCCGCTGCACAATGGTGGCCAGTAATCTGGACACCAGATCTGGACCAATACGCTCGTCCAGTGAGGTGCTCTGCGCTTGCTGTTTTTGATTGGGAACACGTTAGTGCGGAGCACATTCGTCCAGAGACAGGCTGGGGCCAATGGGAACAAGAAGTGGGGGAAAAAGGAATAACAATTCCATCGGTTCAACTGTTAACGAAGCCAACCGACTTTCTGCGTGGAACCAAGTCGCAGGCATAGCTTTCTGGGGTGTTATTGTACTCCATCATCGGCCCAGCCGCATTGATGAAGTGATATCAGCCCGTGAAGAGAAGGCTGCGACGTCGGATTGCATATGCAACCAGCGTATTGCCCAACGCCATCAGCTACTTGTCCCGACGAGAACGCTGCCCTTTTGGCTTGATTTGGTTTCGATTTCTGGCTGCATGTCTAATTCTAAGTACAATGATGACCAATGCGATCGGCCAGACATTATCAGAGTTGCAACGCAATTCATTCTTGAATATTTATCGACAGCCCCAGCTACGATGCCATTAGACATAGACAATATTCATGATGTGCCGCCGGGATTGTCCGAGCTCGTGGATAATATATGGAACCGAGCATTCGACCGAATCCCCACTTACGGGAGATGGGGGGGCGGATTCTGTTAGCTGCGCGAGAAGTAACATGCTTGTTCATGTCTGCGGGAATCAATGTTGCATTTTCGGGATGCGAGGTACACCGTGATCCAAACCATACGAATGCAGCTTTCGAAGCGATGCGTGATGCTTATGATTTGGATTGTCGGATTAGATCCGCCATCGGTTCATTTGACCTACTTCATGAATGGACCAACGGGTTAGGGCACGAATTATCAGAGACCGCCAGACGGAATTGCTCAAGCATCCAGGAAGTTATAGTTTTCATGCATACGTCCACGGAATCTCATCTTACTGTCAAGATCTGTATTGCCAACAGCGGTTTTAGTTTCTTCAACATTGACATTGCCATTGGGCTTGCCAATTGCCTGAAGAAGAAGATGGGGGAGAGCGGCGCGGCCGACTCTCCCACAGAGACAGTTCCAGCTGAGTCTCCAACAGATGCTGCAATCACGATCGCTGAAGGAAACACACCGAGCGGCGCCGCCGCTCCGGGGCAGCGAACTCAGCGACGTCCTCGCCCAGAATCGAGAGCGAGATGCCGGGGGGGAAGGCGGCCCTATAGGACCGCCCCCTACGCTCCTGCGCCCGCCGGCCCAGCCGCGTCGGGCACCAACGCTGGCTGGTTTGACTATGATAGGCCCCAGTCATGGGCAGATGAGTCTTGGGCCGATGAGCCCGTTATAGCGAGATCGGCTGTAGAGCCGGGCGGCCGCGCGAGCGATTGCGGCTGCATTTGGCAGGCCATGGGCGGCAGCTACGACGCGACGGTCGACCGCGAGGACAAGAATGATAATGGGGAGCTCCAAGGATACCATGTACATGTATCTCGCTATCAGCGGGTCACTGGCCGCAACAGAAATTGGCATTGGTTTAGCTTGAACGACTACAACGACAAGTTCAAACGCGACTCTGGGGCGCCGAGCACCCTGCCGGATCCTCCGCCGCCGCCTACGCCGAAGGCGCGGCCGCGCGAGAAGGGCCGGGGCAAGAGTGAGCCAAGCAGCTGGAGTTCCAGCAGAAGAGAGAATAGACATGACAATTCTATGCCAGACATCAGTACCAGTGGAACTGGAGTAACAGAGACACGTGGGATGACTCTCGTGAATGGAGGAGTCATTGGCAGAGGTGACGCAGCACACAATAATCAGTTCGACATAGTCGATGGTGGCCCAAACTACATCCTGGAGCGGGCGCACCAGGTGTGCACGGGCATTGCGGCCAGAGTTGGGAAATATGAGTTCAGGCGGGGAACGTCGGGTTATTTCGGCCTTCCGCCCCCTGGCAACCACCGCTGAGCGGTGCAATGCTTCCGGGGTTCGCTCAGGTGGCTGCGCATATGCGCGGGCCAGGTGGGCTGGGGGTCGGGGCGGCTCTACGGACCCCGCCGCGGGGGGAGTCAATGCACCCCTTCCGCGCCACCATCCTCTAGCCCTTCCTGCTCCTTTGCCTTGCGTGCGCTGTCCGATGTATTGAGTGCTTTTCTCCCGCAGCTACAACTTTGGCTCTAGTGAAGCGGAAAAGGAGCGAGCCTGCGGCGCGCGCGCGTGCGTCGGCCGGCGGGCCAGCCTCCTCCCTCCACTGCTACCCTATTGTATGCTTAACGGCATTATCCCTTCTTCCCCGTGTCATCGGCGGAGCCCACTGACCGTGAGATACTATCGGAACATATTGCAGGGATTATGAATACCCAGGCAAAAGACTGACCCCCCGTGCGTGCTCCGTCCTCTTGTCCCCCCAACGCCCCGCCCTTGCGCGCCGGGCCGCGCGGGGCCGCAGGCAAGGGCGGCGGCGGGCGCGACTACGGCGGCGGCTTCGGCGGCGGGCGCGACTTCGGCGGCGGGCGCGACTTCCGCGGCGGAGGCTCGGCGGGGCGACCTCTCTGGCCAGGGGAACGAGTTTCGGGAGTCGTATATCGGAGCCCTTCCCCCTCTCCTCCCCCCTCGCTCTTCTGTCCCCCATGCCGCCTCCCTCCTGCCTCGCACGTCGTCCCTCCCGCTGCCCATCCATCGTTCCGTCCCTCCCTCTGTCCCTCGTTCCTCCGTCCGTCTTTCCTCCCCATTCCCGCCTCCATATTCCCTCCTTCATTATTCTACGCCGCTCTTGCCTCGCAGTTGGTGCATCGCGTTTCCTGACTCGTTGACTTTCAGCGTGGCGGCATTTTCGAGTTGTTCAGACGCTCCGGTGTCGCACAAGAGTCGTCGCTTTTTCGTTTCGCCAGTTTCGTTTTGAAGTTGCCGCGAAGTTGTGTTCAATGCCTCGCCGGTCTCTTCAGCCTGCAGCGAACCACCGACGCCCTGCCTTTTGGAAACGTGTCTGTGACCAAACCTTGGGCCGAAGTGTTCCCAAGCAACTTAACAACATGTTCCCCGAGCCGTTGTGGAAACCCTTTTGGGGACACTTTTGGAAGGAAGGGGGAGAGCGAAAGAGAAGGAGGAGGAGGAAGAGGAGGAGGAGGAGGAGGAGGAGTTGGAGAATGAGAGTGAGGAGACAGAGGAAAAGATGGAGGACGAGACAGAACCAAGATGCACCAGCGATCCTGCAGAACACCCTCACGTCCGAAGTCCCCCCCTCACTCGCTCCTACACGTCCTCAAAACCACTGCAGGAAACGCCCCCGGGAACAAACAACACAGTTGGGCTTGCCAGTTTGGCGAGAGACCCGCTTTGAAAAGGAGGTGCCCTAAACCTTTCTGGAGAACAGACTTAAAACGTGGGGAACTATTGCAAGACATGCCATGGAGCTGTCCAGTGATACTCCTTTTTTCGAGGAAGGACAGCCTTTCCCATCCGTGGAACTGTTGCACAAGCTTTCGCTGTTTAGCCCTGAGCTTCGAAAGCGTCACAACCGACTGCTCCACTCTGCAAGAGCAGCCCTGGATTCATGCAGCGCCGCATGCGTTAAAGGTTCGCTACTTTCGGCGACGTCTCAAGCCAGGACCCTCGTTGTTTAAAATGACATGCCCCGATCCTGCTCAACGCTGCGCGTCGCTGAGGCGATAGACCCGTTTTGAAAGCGATCTGATCTGATATTTTGAGATTGTTGCAAGCTATTGAACATACTGTTTGCGGGGATAAGGCGAAAACACCGCTTTGAACAGGAACTGCCCTCCATCCGTGTAGTTATTGCAGACTTTGAGACGATTGTACGCGGCGCCCGTGCGAGAACACAATTTTGAAAGTGCCCGCCTCCATCAGTGACACACTTGCCAATCTGTAAGACGAATATGTTGGCGCTAAGGCGAGAGGCCACCGTTTGAAAACTACCCCTTCCATCTGCGAATGTGCGGCACATTTTCAGTGGAGTGCGCGCCGCGCGAAGGCGAGCGCCACATTTTGAAAGTGCCCCCCTCCTTCCGCGAATGTGCTGCCAGCTTTGAAGAAGACTGTGCGCAGCGCTAAGACGAGACCCACATTCTGATCACGACCTGCGCCCCATCTTAGGCCAGTTGCAATGATGAAGAGGAATGTGCGCGGCGCTAACGCGGGAACAGCATGTTGAAAGCGCCCCCATCCATCCATGAAGCTGCTGGGAGCGTTTCAGCAGAATGCGCGCGGCGCTAAGGCGAACACAATATTTTGAAGGCGTTTCCCCTCAATCCGCGAAGCTGTGGCACATTCTTCATATTCAGGACCATAAACCGTTAGGAGGTCTTAGGCGAAGTGCTCGGCCCGCCCTACCAACACGAATGGCGAGAGACAGGGATAAGTTGTTCATAACGAACAGGTGTTGGGGCCTCTTGTGAAAGTCGCATTAGCAGAGATGTGAGATATAGGATGGTAATTCGAATTATCTCTGCTGCTGCTCTCGCTCGCTCATGCTTGCACTCTCTTGTTCACCGCGGCCGTTTTGGCTGTTTGCCCGCCAGCTGTGGCGGGAGGGTGGACGCACCTATCGAACGCTGAGTTTGATTCGGTGTAACAATCGCATCATATTCTGCTCATTTCTTCTTGCATCAAGAGGTTGTGGGTGGAGTGCTTTGGATTACGATTTACACTGGTAACGCGAGCTGAATCAGTCCGCGGTGCGAGGGTTTTATATAGAGTGGCCGTGCAGACCTACATGCTGGCGCTCACCCACATCTTCGCGGTGCTCAACCCCCGCGCGCAACAGATCACGTCGATCGACGCGACGCTCAAGATCATTACCTACGACAGCTTGGACGAGGATCGTTAATGGCACCCCGGGCGAGCAGCGCAATTACAGCAGCAACGGCCAAGACAGCTACTACATCGGTGACAAACTCAGTAGCATCACAGTCATCAAGATGACGTCCAAGCAGCAGCAGCAGTTCAATGACGGCCCCCTCTTCGTTGACAAGGAGGGCGTGGTACACTACAACGGCGACCCTTCCTACGGCGAGGAGTTCGAGGATCGCGCAATACTCGGCTACCATGCGAGCGAGGAGAAGATCAAGAAGCTCTGCGCGATCAAGCTCAAGAATTCTCTGGATGGACGAGCGTGGGCACTTACACGTAAGAAGGCTGAGATCAGTACGCGTGCAGTTTTGGACGAAGCAGGTAATGACCCACTTGCTGCAGTCAAACTGGTGGTAACTACAGTACGACAGGCGTTCGAGAGGATCGCACCACTACAGAAGCAGCAAGCGTTCGAGGAGTATTTTTCACAGGTTTTCGCAATAGAACGGAGTCTGTGCAGGACTACATATCGAGGCGAGAGACGGAGTACGAGCGGCTCAAGTCACTTTCAACGAATACGACTGTCAGCGAGGACCTACGGACATACTTTCTACTAAAGCTAGCAAACATCAGCATGCAAGAGCACAAGGCAATCCTTGGCCAATGCAACAACGAGTACATCTGGGACGACGCGACGGCAGCCATGCTGATACAGCTGGACAGTACAGGCCGAGATGATCGTGGACATGGACGCGACGGAGCCTACCCGGTGGACTACGACGACGAAGAAGAAGAGGCCCTACTCGGAGACGAATGTGCACCGTGCGACGAGGGCGTCTTCTTGAGTGATGCGGACCACGACGCACTTGCAGCGGACACCGATGAGTTCGAGGGAGCGATTGACGACGTGGACCTGGACGAGATCAGCCAGGAGGAGTGCGACACCCTGGCGACGGAGGCTCAACGTCTTGGCTGGAAAGCTGGACGGCGCAACCGCAAGCCCAACTACAAGCAGGCCCGGTAGCGGCTTGCTCAGAGCAAGTCGAATCGAGGCTGGAAAGCCAACATCAACAAGCAGGGCTCCATCAAGATGGACAGCAAGGAGGCCGAGGATAAGCTGAAGCAGATCAAGGCGCGCGCGAAGTCCAACGCGCGCCACAAGAAGGGCCGCTGGAAGGGTGACCCCGAGCGCGAGAAGACGAGGTCACCAGCGATTGGATCCAGTACGCTACAACGTGGAGGACGAGGAGGCGGACGTGGGGGACGAGGCTTTCACGGACGACCTGGAGGTTTTCTACGACGAGCTGGATTCGCAATGGCGACCGCGGTCAAGCTGCTGATGGCGGACAGCTCGATGGACGCGACCGCCATTCAGATTGTCAACGACCAGCTGGCAAGCATAGACGCGGCGATGGATGAGATCACGAGTCTGACGAAGGTGAGGATCGACGCCGAGGAGCAGAACGTGAACCCCTACGCGGTATCAGCAGCAGGAGACCAGCCGAACTTCCAAGAGAGGATCGACCAGAGCACGAGTGAGTGGCTTGGCCAGGCACACGAGCTACGCGCAGTACCTGAAGAGCATCAAACACAAGAACCTGACGAGCCCCTGAGCACTGCAGTGGGCTCGGAGGAGAGATCGTGGCCAAGCAGACCGACACCGGGGTCGGGGTCAACAGGATGGACGTGGCCCAGCAGACCAAGCACAGACTACCTGGAGGAAGACAGCACAGCGGCCGACCTACAGAAGATACGAGATCGTGCTGAGCAGATCGCAGCGTTGTGGGTTAGCTGCGAGAGCATGGAAGCGGCCTTCAGGGACTGCATGGAGTTCTGCATGGACTGGGCCCTACATCGTTTCCAGCAGCTCATGCACATCACCATGGAGATGGCGCCGAACGGCCTCAGGAATATGGCCCACGATCTCTGCCGAGCAGCCCGGGAGAAGACCTCGGATCCACGGGGCATTGCGCGGAGCACCTGCGAGCGCCTACCGATTGGAGCACGACCGACATGGTTGTGGACGGAACGCCGAGCTGGAACCAACAACGTCCCAGAGGGCGACCGCGCACCGTCACCAGGGCGGCAGCAGCCTTACGAGGAGTTGGAAGACATCGAAGCCTACGCAGTACGAAAAGGACTTATTACAGATGGACATGCTGCACTGGACACTGCGTGCCCACGTGGATGTGGAGGTTCAATATCACTGGGCGGCTACACAGTGGACGGCAGAGTCACCGCGCGGATGAGAGGATCATCCATGCGCTTCCGAGGCGTGAATGATAGCGCCCCGGTCATGGCAGAAGGAGAACAAGAGGTGACGGCTGGACTTGCTGGAGCTGACGTGAACCTGCGCTTCCAGAGGTTGCCGAAGTCAAAGACGCCAGCATTGCATCCACCAGCTGGAGGAGCTCGACACAGTGATATACATCAAGGATCGGAAGGCGGACTTCAAGGCGATCAACAAGTACGGAGTGCATCTCAACACGACGGAGAAGGGGCACCCGACGATCTCGCTCAAGGAGTGGCCGAAGAAGGAGACGACAAAGATCGAGCCATCAGTCGCGCCCGACGAGATTGACATCTGGAATGCGGAGGCCCAGGAGATCGATAAGGGCATCCTACGGCGGAAGCAGAGGAAGCAGATCGAGACGTGGGAGAAGGAGATTCAGGACAAGCTGGACCATTGCCAGTTGATCGTGGACACGCTGAAGGCGGACCCGG